CGCGCCGCGGCACCGGTCCCCGCAACAGCCACTTTCGATTCCGGTCAGACCTTGGCATAAGGATCCAGCCGGGCTGAGCTGGCCGTGCCCACTGCACTCTCGTCTCGAGCCGTTTTTATTCGAGGCACGTCTACGGGTTGTGGCGGCGGCGGTGTGACCGACCCGGCCGTGCGCCGCGCGCCGCGCCGTCTCGATCGGGCTTTTTGGCCGGCGGCGCCCGGTCGGCGTGGTAAGGCACCGGCCCAGACGTCGCGGCGGGTGCCAAGAGCGCGGGGTAGACAGCGATGACGGAATGACTCGCAGAGGTGCTATTGGTTAGAAGATGACTTGGTCCATAAGCCGTTTGTTTTTTTTTTTTTTCTGGTTTTGTCGCGGTAGTTCTTTTTCGGCCTGCGCGATTGATATCAGTTGTTGAACTCAACAAGTAGGTACCGGCTATAGCCGGTTGACTATATATAGTCAACGTTCATGAGTGACCTCTAACTAGAAGCTAATGCCAAGCCCAGCCACTGACGATTGAAGATTGAAGCGAATCATTCGCGATCTCACGAGCCCTCCCCGCCGGTCACGTGTCGCTGAAGCGAGCGGGCCAATTCCGCCAAAAGACGGTGTCGCTTATGTCTCCTTGTCCATACCAATTACCAACCATACCAGCCAAACCATAGTTCAACGAATTTGGCAATATGTATGGACTGGTATGTTATTAAAAATTACTGATGCATGGCGGGTACGGTGGTTTGCTTTTTTAGTCGTCAGAAGTTTTCGTTTGAAACAAAGATGAGCCCTGTGCAAATGTACCGGAGCGATGTTCGCTATGCCGTCAGCGCTCGCAGGCCGTTTACAAGCTGCCTGCTGAGTGCTGACCGCTGACTGCTGAGTGCTGACCGCTGACTGCTGAGTGCTGACTGCTGAGTTCTGACTGCTGACTGCAGCTGGACCCACTCGGCACGGAGTACGGTGTAAGAGCGGGAGGGAGCCGCGGTTATGCCGCCGGTGTGAACTGGGCATCTGCATCTCAGCGCAATAACACCTGACGAATCCGTCGCGATCAGCCCACCGTCTCCTCGGTCTGTGAACCCTCTCTGACGGTAAATTGCCTTCCTCCGCGCGGCCGGCGCGGCGCCGCGGTGCGCCGGCCACTCTCCCCAGCCTGCCGATTCTTCCCCGGGTGACCTTCGATCTCTTCCTGGTGCGCGCAGTTCGCCTTTGTGGCCGACGCGACCCCCGACCAGCGCCGCGCGCGCACCAAACGCCGGTGGCAACAAGGCGCCGAAAGACGGACAGGGTGTTGGAGATAGCAGTTGAATGGGCGGGCTTGCGCTGGGGAGTCATCTTTCGATGGTTAGATGAAATTTTGATATGCGTGACGGAGCAGTCTATCAGAAACGATCGTGGTCGTGTTGGTTTTGCGTCGTATAGGTGGTCGTGTTGGTTTTGCTGTAGGCGTCAGTATTCAGGCATATGTTGACAGTTCATCAATTCAATATATACCTATTGAAGATGGAATGTTTCGCAGCTCCGTCGTCAATAGCGAGCATGTCACACGTCTATTTGTCTATTTGATGTTGAGTGGCGTGCATTGTAATGTATCGCGCTGCAGGAGTCACCAGTCGCCGCGCCGGGCCGACCAGCCGCGCCCGTTTTGGTCGGCCGTCCGGAGTCCCCAACAGGTTTGGAATGAGTCTCGCGCCGCCTCGGTCGGCATGGGCTGGAGCCTGGAGGGAGGGGATAGGTAAGTACAAACTGGGAAGCAAATTCACCAATGTCTTTGTATACTGGTAGAAGTAATGTGGCCGTAGCAGACGACCATCAGCGACTGCTAGAAGTAAATGGTAGTGTTTGACAGGAGCAGCTGATAGACATCTAGCTGAGCCACTGTCTCTTCCATCTGCTGCTCCGACAGCGACTCTCCCCTACCTCCTCTTTGTCTCTATTCCGCCCTCTTCCTGGTGTTGGCCGCTCGTTCGGCGGATGCATGCAGCCCAGCGCACACCCGGCTGCAAGCCTGGCCCGTGCCGCGCCTGAGCCGTATGAGCCGACCGTGGTGGTCAGACTCGCCGCCGCTGTGGAGCCTGGAGCCGGGTGAGCCGGCTGCCGTGCAGCGGGCCGGTGACTCGTCACCTCCCCCCCCCCCTGCCCCTGCCCCCCTCCCGGGGGCTACAGAGTGGCGCTGGCTGCTGACATTAGGTGATCGTTCCACCGCGCCGGTCGGTCCGCTGGGGCCGGGGCAGCCGAGGGTCCCGGTCCAGATCGGCAGCTAACTGCCCGGCGCGTCCGGCCGCGGTGCGGTGTCCAGTCGCCGGTCGGCCGCGGCGCCTGGCGTTAGCAGCTCCGAGGCGAGGTCTGGTGCTGGCCGACAGTCACCAGGGCAGGAGAGTCGTGTTTGAGCGCTCCACTCCCCCTGCGTGATCTGCCGCCACATGGCCATCACTCGCTGCAAACTCTGACACAAACCTAGTGACGTATATGGATACGAAACATGCATAATTCTGCATGGCCAAGAAGGCACTTACCTCACCCATGCTCGCCGTTTTGGTTCTGCTGTGATGTGCCCATCGTTCATCTCTATCCCCTCCTCTCCTCTTTTTCCCTTATTCTCTCTCTCTCTCTCTCTCTCTCTCTCTCTCTCTCTCTCTCTCTCTCTCTCTCTTTCTCTTTCTCTCTTTTCTTTCTTCTCGATCTTTATCTTTCTCCCCTTGCGTCACTAAGCAGCCCTAATTAATCCTTCATTAGCAGTGAACGGCGCCACGTGTGACGTTTCTGAGAAATTGAACGTCAAATGAGCTTATAACATGGCGTCATCAAAACACAACCATACACAGACGCCTGATTTGTATACTCTCCCTTGTCCTTGTCTCCCTCATGACTTGCTCGACGTGGGCCATCAAGGTCAGGGGTCAGCACGGCGATTATTGCCCTGGTGCAGCACTTTGGGCCTTATGGTTGGGTGGTCCGCGACTGTGCGGGGTTAAAGGTACCTACTCATTAGGTATGTCCGGTGTCTGGTGAATCAGGACTCGCTCCATCAACCCTTGTAGAACGCAGGTTATTCTTTGTCAAATTTGGTGTCTTCGTACGCAATCACTGCAACACAAGTCAATAGGATGTCTGTGTGATAAGATCAGAGGTATCAGAGAGGAACAATTATATGTAGGTAGTGACTCGCCTACAAAGAAGAGGAAGAGGAAGAGAGAGAGAGAGAGAGAGAGAGAGAGAGAGAGAGAGAGAGAGAGAGAGAGAGAGAGAGAGAGAGAGAGAGAGAGACAGCACAAAAACCGGGCCTGCCCGTGAAGCCAGCCTTCCGATTATGGTCGTGCTGAGGTGGGCCGAACAGTGCGGTGGGCGGCGGCCGGCCAGCCCCCGACACCTCCACCCTGAGTCGGACCGACAGCGCGCAGCTCCCGGCACCGCCCGGCTGCAGCCCAGACGGCCGCTTACGCTCATCAGCCCACCGCTGCAACTCTGCTGGCGGCACGTCTCAGCCGTGTGCAGCGGAGGGGAGCTGGGGATGCTATATGCTATGGGAGTTACAGAGCTGTGCCTGACTCTGAGTCAGAGTCGTTCGAGTAGACTGTAGGCAGCCTGTTCCGCGCGATTGTTTTATGTCCTGCCCTCCTGTCTCACGTGCTATTTCTGTTGTCCTTCGCATTCCGTCCCTATCCTTCCAGTTCGTACCTCGTCCTTCCAGTGTCGTTCCCCCCTGTAAATACCGTCCTGTCATCGGCCCCACCCCGTCCCTCCAATTCCTCCCCGATCCTGGGCGGCCGGCACGCTCGGCTGGTTCGCTGCGCTGGCGTGTGCCGCGTTCAGCTAGCTTTGGGCCGCGGGTCCGCCGGCGCGCCCAATACCCGCTGGCCTCGCCCGCCCGTAAGCCGCAACGTGCTGCAGCCCGCTCTCCGTGCACCGCCGAATGAAACGCCGTCTGCGGCTCCCTCCCTGAACGCTTGTAGCCGCCAGCCTTTGCGAGCAGCGGGGCTAGTCTCAGTTTTGGCCGGAGCAAGATATCGTAACTCTGGCGCTCGCCCAGCTTGTCAGTGGTCCGCATGCCCATTAAATCAAACGTGACAACAGTTAAGTGTGTTTTGACAAATTGCAATGCAAATGCTTCTTGCGTTTGCTTTAAATAGCTCGCCCATAGAAAATGTGTTTGATTTAAAGCGTTTATCTGGTACTTACGAGAATGAATACGTTAAAAGATCTCGTTATAATTCATCGTAATTCACGCAGACATAATTAATGACTGCTTTGGAATGCAGGAAGCTGCAGGAGGGCGGCAATTGAGGCCCGCTCGCCGTCCTGCTATGGGAGGTATGCGCGACTGTGTCGTAAGCTAGCACATGTCTGCTGACGGCTGTCGAGAGGTGGAATAAATTGACTGTCATCCTCTCGGTGCAGCTGCTCCGTGTCGAAAACACCTGCGTGCGTACATCTTGTCAGGTGTGTCGTCCTTGACCCGCGGGTCGACCGGAACAGGTGATTATCGAGGTCGGCCGCCTCATAATGTCGGTGTTGTTGGTTCGACTCGGGTGTTGCTGATATAGGTCTGGGGGAGGGGTTGTACTTTGTGCTAGGAGACGCCGCCCGGACACTGCAGCGGTTGGTGCAGATGCAATGACAACAGCCGCCAGGCGCCAATGACTCACCATGATCTATCGATTACTGTGAACACGAACTGATGCACGGGGGAGACCACAGCCGCTGCCGGGATCAGTTCGGATCGACGCCGTGAGTCATGGCCAGCCATCAGACGCCGTAATTGGCTGAAATAATGGAGGCTGCAGACACCCTGATCCTTCCTGCAGAGGCAGACGACGGTCAGCTCGGAACATTTTCAACACGGAATAAGCAACTTATTTTAAACCATCAGCAGACGATGTATACCTTTAACAAAAATAACAATAGCGGTATTGAATCACCAGATGACAGGGTCGTGCCTTTCCGGTCAGCCATTGGCGCTCCAGCACGCTGACCTGACCTGACCTGACCTGACCGTTTCACAGGCACGCCTTCGTCGCCGGCGACGGAGCGGACCGTGCCGCAGAAGCTGGCGCCGCCGTTCGACCCGGAGTCGGCCGACCGACACCACCTGGACACGGGCACGTTCAGCCGCGTCTCGGCGCTCCTCTGGGACCCGCACCCGCGCTACAGCGTGCGCGCCTTCGGCCGCCGGCTGGTGCTGCTGCTCGAGCCGGACGCGCTGCTGGCGGCGCCCGAGCTGCCCGTGCAGCGCGTCTACCGCAACTTCACCGAGGTGCGCGGCCTGGGCCGGCCGGCGGCGCACTGCCTCTACCGCGGCATGGTCGAGGACGACGCCGACTCGGTGGTCGCCGTGAGCCTGTGTCACGGAATGGTGAGTACTGAGTACTGAGCTGCTGCACCAGCCCTGCGCCCCTTGAGCGACGTCTGGGGTTCCCTCTGAACCTGCCCGTGCCCCGTGTAAGGCACTGAGCACGCCCTCTCTGAACTGCTCGGCACGCCCATTCTGAGCCGCTGGGCACGCCCCTCTGGGCTGTTTAGCCTGCCCGCTCTGAGCTAACGCCCCTCTGACCCGCCAAGAGGGCGTGAGCGGCCGATAGCCGGCGGCGTCGGCCGGCATGTGGAGAGCATGTAGCGCCGCCGGTTTAGAGCTATCGTAAATCTGCCACGCCGCCGCCTGCCTGCCGGCTGCTGTCACAAAATCCGGCAGATCTCTCGGACTACAAATGTTCTGTCTGGCTGACATGTATCGGGTGGTTCATCTTACGGGTAAAATAGGTTAAATTAATTATGCTTATTATTTGTGGTACGCTGAGTGAGTGACCTTTGACTGTGTAACCTTTTAATCTATTTTGAGACATATTGCTCGAAGTGACGCTGTTAGCTGCCATGGTCCGCGTTTGTATCCCAGCGGCCATCTGCTTCGAGTTAGGTTATATAACCGCTCATGAATGGTCACTATAGGGAGGAGGAGAGTGAGGGTGGACTGAGGACGCTACACGTGTTATTCACTGGCACCCACGTGCTTTGAACTGCGAGTACCATACTTATCTAACGTGCTATTAGCACGTCTTTCGTCCAGTTGAGCCTGTTGGCTGAAACGGAAAGTGAGGACTGAGAGAAGTTGTTGCGAATAGTCCCATATTTTTTTATAAATGCCTTGAAACTGCTGAACTGTGGCTGAACGGATTCAACTGATGACGATATAGCTTCTGCTGAGTTTTTACTGATGCGTTCTAGGTATCTGATAGTTTACTGTTAGGGTTTGGTCATATCAGGTCTTTGAGTCGCGATGTCATATATATGACGTTATGTTTGGCTGCCGAAATCAGTCGAGATAGGCGTTTACCGTATCTGAGCGAAACTGCTCGCTATCCCGGATGTTTCCCCCAGTAAGTATATACCTAAGTTATGCCTAATTATTGTTTGTTTATGCTCAGGGCCTTGCTCTTGATTGAAAGTTATGTTGGGTACAATTTTATTTTTTTAATTTTTTCCTATAATTTATAGTTATATGTTTCTGAAAGCCTTATAACATTGCACAGATAGATGAAGGTCAAAGTTTTACTTTGACGGTAATTTTATATATTATACATTTCAAAATTGTGTTGAACTATCCAGAGTGCAGTCTCAGCCATGACGACCGAATGATGTGACCGGGTCGCCGCTTGACCAGTTCATTCTGATAGTAGCTTGGATCCGTTCGTGTCTCGCCGTCCGAAAGGAAAGCAGCTCAGTAACTAGGGCCGTCGTAAACTGACCAGGCTGGTTTACTGGCGCGGCTGCCACGCCGCACCTCGCACCCAGGGGCCGAGCCAATAAACACAGGAGCGCCAACGACCTACTGACCTCCGACCGACGACCGTTTAACCCGCGCCACGCTGGGGAGGGGCGCAATCTGCCCCTCTCCAGTTTTTCGCCAATGGCTTAAGAATGCATGAAGCCAACGACTTTAAAGTTCAGTACCTTATCACACACTAATTTGTCTTATTCCCTGATTTATTTTAGCGAAATCCGTCGATTAAAAAAGAAAGAAAATGGCGTTTTAGTGAGGTAATGTCACGCTACCTTCGCCTCAGAAACTGCACAAATTCAAACGCCTCTAACATCTTTAGTTTTTTTTTTAAGGAATCAAGACAAAAGAAAACAATGTTCGTGTTGGTCTTTCAAGTGGTTATCTCGATTCTGGAATGCTTTTGGATTTTAAGCCAAAATAAAAGAAGTTTTTTTGTCGTCATAAACAAAAATTGTAGGCTTCTCAAACTACAGATGTGGTATGTGTAGAGAAATACCTCCAAGTTTTAAAAGATTTGGTTTAAAAATTTAGGAGTTATTCAAATTTGAGTGAGGCTACGACGCGCAATAATAAAAAAAAACATTTTGGATGTTCTAGACCTCGTACGGGAACAAAAATAACACGGCTAGATCGTCGTAAAAAAGCTGCATCAGATAGACACCTTTTTGGGTCTTTACAATCTAATTAAAAAATGTGAACTTGCTTGACCTGACCTTGACCTGAATTTGACCTGAAATTCATCTACATATGGTACGTATCGCTAGTTGATTATGTCCATTGATTTCTATAAATAAAATGACCCATACTTAAAGGCTAAAACATGTGTCGCACATAGGTATCCTTATCTATAGTTCGTCTTTGATGACCGGACCTGAACTTAACCTTGGCCTTTGCATAACATTGCATTTAAGGCATCTTGTCTTGGTAGCCTAGGAACGCGTTTTGGGTGATCGATCTATGTCCATTCCTCCCCAACTGGGCTCCAAAGCCAGTAATTCAGAAACTTGCAGTTCTTACCCTTGACCTGACCTTGACCTGATGTGTGACCTACTAAGGCAAAAAATGTTTTAAGGTCCACCTTGGTGAGAGCTCTCGGTTGCCATTTTCCGGTCTTTCCAGTTTCTACTACCATTGCTTCGGAAGTTAGACAGGGAGGACAGAATCTGACCCCCCTCCCAGCGTTGCGCGGGCTGACGACTAACGGCCGACCAATGACCGTTTACCGACCACGGGCGACCACTGACCACCGACCACCGGTCGTTTAACGACAAAAAAACGATCGGCGATCTTTCGATGACCAACAGATCCCACCGACCCGCAATCGGTTGATGGGTGGCCACCAAAAGCGACCGTTTAGCGACCAGACAATGCCCTATAACTTATTTACTCAGGCTGAACCAACGTCTTTCCGCTGCCCACTTAGCACCATTGACCTTCCGAACTCTGTCCAAGCAATCCCAATGACTGGCCTTTTACCACCCAATGAACGTCCATCCAACGTTCAATCAGCTCAGCTTCCAATCATCATCCAAATGATTTCCAGCCAACGCCCAGCGTCCGTCCTATCACCACACGACGGCTGATCCAACAGCCAAGCCCTCGCCCCGCCCGGGCGCCTGACAGCTCAATGCATGAAGAGGCGCCACTGCCAGCATTGGCATCCCTTCCGCATTCTCCAGCGATGGGTTCCAGCGGGGATGGATGGATGAATAGTGTTGCCGGGGCTGGGAGCGCCAACTGATGTCTCCCAAGTACCTTCTGTCTGTTTTCTCCCCGCCGCGCTGGGTGGAAAGTGTAGGGCTGGGAGCTGCATGCAGCGAGTAGGACATTCTATGATTCTAGGGTTGGTGTTGGACGTTGGTAGGTGTCAGAGTAGGAGCACGAAATGTCTTTGAGTCCAAAATAGGCTTAGGAGACCTATTAAATTCGCTACTGCTTTACAGACCTATCTGTATGCCCAGTATGAAGTCACTTGTCCTGAATTGCTCCTCAATTGTCCTGAATTACAAACTTTTAGGTAGGTATATATGACCAATGATGACCATACAAAACTTGAGTACATCTCGCCGATAAATGTAACTAAGGCCATCGCCCGCCACCAGCGTGCCAAACCAGTGCTTCCGAACGGTATTTCTCGTTTACATTAACGTATAGGGTAGGGTGGGCGGTGGCCGCGACATGTGTTTGGATGAGAGTCGTGGAGAGAGAGAGAGAGAGGGAGAGAGAGAGAGAGAGGGAGAGGGAGAGGGAGAGGGAGAGGGAGAGGGAGAGAGAGGCAGAGAGAGAGAGAGAGAGAAAGAGAGCGAGAGAGAGAGAGAGAGGGAGAGAGAGAAAAAAGAGGAAGTGCGGACAGACGGCCCTCAGGGACTCGACCAACTCCAACTCTCAAACACATCTGCAGCGCGCCGCTGCCGAAAAGGTGCCGAGCTCGGCCTTGAGAGCTGCTTGTTTTTCCCAAAGGCACACAACCGGTGCCGGTTTGTTGGATGTGTCCCCGATCTGAGGGCGGAAGAGTGCAGCGGCCTGAGGGTATATAGGTAAGTACACGAGCACAGTGGCCGAGTACAGTGACCAAGAACATGCACTGGTTGAGCTCATACAAGGGCCAGTACTAGTCACCTGTACTGTCAGTAGATACTGAGAAAAAGTGGATTAGGATTACTTTGTGTTTATTGTGCTCGTCATGAACTTTGCCGCCATGAAGATGCGATGTTATGTGTGCTTGTCATTTTAGCACTTTGTGATCATTACTGTGTGACCGGAAGAGCCATTGTTGTATGGAGGTCATAATACAAGAATAATAATAATAATAATAATTGTCCATTTGTAGGGATGTAGGACGTAGGTATCAAAAGAAACAACATAAATAAGCAACAAAATATGTGACAAAACGATGTCATTTCTGGGGGGTCTGGACGTTTCCACTATCGCAGAAGACGGCGCCGTTCCTCTGGTGCCAGGCGCCGATACGTCCCTCCGGATCGCTCTCCGCTTGACCGCACCGAACCGGGAAGTGACCTATCGCCTCATAGCGGACGAAAATATACACAGCAGATACCACCAGATTCCGAGACGAGTGGTCCCACGAAAATTCTGCAATATGCCATCACAAGCAATGCAGAATTGATTGTCAAGTTCCTCGGCAAGTCATGAGCCGATAAAACGGGTCCCGGCATCGGACGGCGTTCCTTGAAAAATAGCTGACCTGGGAGCTGAAGTCAATAACATGACATGAAAAGACGGTATTGGGCTATCGCCTTTTGAGACACTCGATACTAGGGCTTGGTGGGTGCCATATGAGGAATCGGAGGAATCTACACTTGCAGGCCAGGGCAATGAATACGGACACGCTCCCCTGAGAATGTTTGCGAATTACATGCTCTGGCGGAAAGGGCCTTGCAGGCGGCAGCATCTGTTACCGTAATCAATCACCTCCTAGTTATAGACAGATAACGAAAACAGCGAGGAGTTCGAACGGTTCAAAATGTTACATTAATTATTCAAATAAAACATCACTCATGTAGGTACTAGATTGGTCTTGCCTAATAACCGCGGAGCTTTTCGTTTGCATAATTTCA